TTCATTGTTTAAACAATGAAAAATCCCTGAAATCGCATGAGTCTGGACACTCTACTCGGGACGTAATTCGGTATAATTCTACTATATTTTGCGAAATAGAGCACACTTAGAGTTAAATGGTATGTAGATCTTCTTGAATACTTATATATTAATGTGATGTGTATTGATTGTGATATTCGATGTTTTGTATGTAAAAAATTTGCATCATATTAATTATGTATCCGTTAATAAAAATATTATATTAGCATCTCTATGGATATTCACCGGTTTAAAGTAACCCATAGATTATTTATATTATTTGTTCAATGTTCGGTTCACCTATTAGGTGACGTATCTTTTTACTTTACTGCCAAAAACTTATCCACCAATGTAAAATAAGCAAATTTGTTAATTATAATAAAGATATGAGAATGTTTCTCGAATTAATTTATTATTTAAAATAATAAGTTGCATTAATACTGCTTTATACCATCGTTATTCTGCTTTATACCATCGTTATTAATTTAAAATAAAAATCTAAAAAAAAAATAAATAAATAAATAAAAACTAATAAGAATAAAAAAAAAATCAACCCGAACATCTGATAGAGAAATTTCTTAATTATCATACAATGTGAGATTCATTGAGTCCAATTTTGCTTTCAACAATTCATCAAAATAAAAAATAGTGTAACTTCTAAATAGTTTATGTGGTTCATCCAACCAGAGATTTACTTCATCAAATAAAATTTCTAATCCTTTTCTATCAAACTTTTCATTAAATTTTCTATAATGAATAAAATAATCTATTTCCTGCTTAGTCAAATACTTGTAGCCTCCTTTAACAAGAATTGATTTTGATAATTTAACCCTTGCCCAATCAAGTACTAAGGGCTATAAACAATAAGCGGTGAGTTAACTATATCAATGCCCATCATTGCAATTACTCTATAAAAAAGCTGCTCTTGATAAAAACCAGCAAAGTCACCACCGCAGCCAAGAATAAAGAACATCTTTGTCTTTATTATCCTCAGTGTATAATAAACCTCTCACTAAACTTCTTAATTGAGTTTCATACTGCAATGTTTGCAAATCGTCTTTTTCTATATCAATTGAATACCAGCCATGATTAGGGCAAAAAAAACTAATTATATTATCATTATAACAATTTTTTATTCCAGATTTGTCTGCCAAGCCACATTGAGGACAAGCCATCCTTAATGCGAGACACTTCGTTGAGGGAAATAATGATTGTCCAACTTTTTCTCGCTCATTTATTAATTTCATAATTATTTCCGGGGCTTTCCTATGTAAATTTAATTCACTTTGATTTATTAGTTTATAATTCACACCAAAGTAAGAGTTCAATTTATCTAGTAATTCTTTGAAATCATCTATATAATCATGAATTACTCCAGTATAAGCAATACTTTTTGGTATTCAACATCATTAAAACTATATATATCTGTATCTAAAGCTATTGTGTCTACCATTCCAACTATAACTGTCACAATTTTACCAAGTTTTTCTAATCGTTGAGCAAGAGAAAAAGCAAGTGAGAAGGTAATTATGGTACCAAAGTGAGGTGGACTATTCGGCACTGCACCTACACTTATTCTTACTTCATCTTTAGGAATATATTTAAAAATGTAGTTGGCGTACCCTTCCTTAAAAATTGTAGAGGCACCTCTTGGTGGATTATGAATATTACCATCATGCCAAAATTTAATCATTATTGTTGTAATAACGAGTGGAAAATAAAATCTTAAATATACTTTAATAGTCAGTAACGAGTGGAAAACTTGCTTTCACAAACATAAAACCGATTAAATACAGAATGAAATGGAGCTAAAGTACATGAAATGATTGACCAAGTTATTATAATTTAATATATATATGTAAACTAAGATATTTGTGGCGCGTAATAAGTGTGTTAGAATATCAATTAATTCATTTCTATTGCAATGACACACGTAATCAACACGTATAATTTAATTCTATTGTATTTCCGTGCTCAACAGGCTCTGATTTAATTATATTTGAGCCTTCAAATTCCCTTATAGTAAAATTATACATAATCTATCTTAAATCTAGTAAGAAATATTTAACAACGTGTATTTTATTATATTTTTAGTTACTTAGTGTATTATCCTTGAAATAAATAGTTAGAACTTTAAATGCGATATCTTTTTTTTTTTGTATTGTAAATTTTTTTTGGTAAACCGCATAAAAATTTAATTAGTAATACATACCGATAAATGGCATAATAAATTGCTTAGTATCACTTATTATCGTTATCGTATTAGATTAGATTGATAAAAGAAACAAATTTATGTTAGGTCATATTAATATTAATGTTAACGTTAATAAAAAAAAAATAAATAAAAATCCTTAAAAATAAGGGTATTTAGAATCAGAAAGTTTCTTATATATTTATCTGCTCATAAAACAACCAAGAAATTTGGGGTTTTATCTGATACTTTGAGACATTGGTTAAGACAGGAAAAAATATCTGCGATAACGTCTCCATCCGGGACTTGTCTCTATGATATTTCTTCTTTTTTACCAGAGTTGATTACTCAAAATAATACCTCAACCACCTCCGTTACTGAAAAGAAAGGTTTCCTATACGCACGTGTCTCAAGCAACAAACAAAAAAAAGTCCTTGAAGACAGAAACAGATTCTTAAATCCAGATTCCCTAATTATGAGCTCATCAATGATATCGGGTCAGGTATCAACTTCAAAAAAAATGGACTTAAAACCTTACTGGAATGATCAAGTAAAGGAATGGTCTCAGAAATTGTGGTTACCCACTGTGACCAACTCTGCAGATTTGCATTTGACCTCATTGAATATATGTTCTCATTACACTCTATGAAACTCGTAGTTCTCTTCGACGAATCAAGTTCCGACGAGCATGAATTATCACATGATATCCTTGCAATCAACACCGTCTTCATCTGTCAAATACAGGGAAGAAGAGCAGCTAAATACCAAAGCGAATGAAAACCAATGGAAAATAAAAACAATAAAAACATGAAGCAAAAAAAAACAAAAAATCAAAACTACTGTGAATCGCACGTTATCAATCAAAACATATCCGAATCATTCTCAGAAAAAGACATTGAAGAGATGGCTAGGTTTGATGAGATATGCTTATAATACTGTTGTTAGATGGAACAAAAATCGTCATTTTTGTAATAGTTCTAAAAATTTTGAATGGATAAAACCTCATACACTCAACGAAAAACTTAAATTATACATAGATGTAAAAGAAGAAAAAGATTTTAATGAAAAAGATAAAAAATTACAGAGATCATGTGTGTGAGGAGAACGTAAATTTCTTCAAACAGTTGTATGGTTAGAATTACGTGTTAAAGGTTTACATGATAAAGTACCTGCAAATATAATTGATAAAAGTATTGATGAAGCTTTGATAGCTAGAAAAAATATAATACAAAAAAATTTAAAAGAAACTAAAAAATTATCATTATCATTTAAATCTAAGAAAGATTTATGACAGACAATGACTGTTCGTGCACAAAACTTTTCAAAGAAAGATTGGAAACATTTTTACATTACATATCTTCATAATTCTTTGACTTTATCATCAAAATGATGCAAACCCAATAAATTACAGGATAGAAAACGTGACTTACGTCCGTTTTATTTTGAAAAAAGGAGAAAGCATAATAAATAGCCATTGCAACAAGTAGATTGTGATTGTAAACTTACATATATACGTAAAACAAATGAATGGATATTTTATTGGGTATACGAAGCACAGAAACAGATCTATGAAACACAAGCGGATGTTCATGTAGTTTCAATTGATCCAGGAGTTCGTACTCTATTCACATGGTATTCTTCGACAAAAGGTGTGGGAAAGATAGGAGAATACGATATAGGACATATTTTTCGTTTATATAAACACATGGATGACCTAATATCAAAAAAAGACAGATTGCATCTTTAATCTCAAAACGAAAGAAGAAGAAAGCGTTGCGTGTTGATAAAGCCATCTTTCGCATGAAACGAAAGATCAGACAACTTCAGGACGAAATCTATCAAAAAACAATCAAATTCTTAACGGATGAATTTGACATGATTGTTATTCCCTCTTTTGAGGTTTCAGAAATGGTGAATAGAAAAACATGAAAGATAACAAGGAAAATGGTTAGAAAGATGCTTTGTTGGTCTCATTACAAGTTTCAACAATGATTGATTTCAAAAGCAGAAGAGAAAGGAACTCATATATAATTCAAAACGAAGCTTACACATCAAAGACATGTAGTTGGTGTAGAAATATTCAGAATATTGGAGGATCAGAAATATACAATTGCAAGAATTGTAGTATAAAAATAGACAGAGATGTCAATGGCGCCCGAGGGATATTTCTTCGGGCTTTGCTTGATGAAGCCATGATCTTGTCATAAGATATCTTCATGCAGACAATAGTAACTTTACTTAGTAATACTTAGTATTGATTATTATTGATGTATTACCATTTACTACATGGTTGCGATGAATCATTATATATGACAAATAAGGATTTACTAATTTAACATATTAGTGAACTCTTATTCGTCATGCAAATAATTCATCACACCAAAAATTGCATTAATTGACTCATAGTGACTGCGCCACCAATCAATTAATTAAGTTCTATATTAATTAGTGAATTGATAATAATACTAAAGGCATTACTTTTATCTCCTTTGATATTATTATACCCACCGAAAAAAATTTGAATGTATCTTACTAATCTACGGCTTATTTTCTACCAATAAAGTTAATTTACCAACAAGAATTGGAATAAATAATATAAATAATTGAATGTTGTTCAGTTAATTAATCACGTATATTCTGTATCTCCTATTTTTGTCACGATTACTTACTTGTTCCATAAATTATTACTCCTGAGCTTAAATAGTATTATTTTAATTCATTTATCTTTTCTGACTTTTTTCTCTGAAAGATACATCATTCAAATTTGAAAATTTGCGGTATATTAATTTCAATTAAATAATTATTATTGCAGAACGATTTTAATTATATATATTTGCATCAGTATCAGTATCCAGTTGTAACCTAAGTAATGCTTGATGGTGAAAAAAGCTTAGCATTCGCAGAAACATCAAAATATCAAGTTTGTGTTCATATTTATGAAATTATCTAGTGTAACTTGAATTATAGATACATAGTTCTTGAAATAGTGATCAGAAAGAAAATCATTACTTAAATAAAATTACAATACGATAAGTACTGTTTATTGCCCCCAACTAGTGATGTGACCCGAAATCCATTTAAATTTATTTTCATGTTAAATTTAATATAAAAATGGAATCCAATGGATTTCGAGTCACATCACTACCCCCAACAAAACAAATTTTGAGAAAGATATTTCGACAAACTTTTTGATTAAATTCAATGAAATTTTCTTTATTTTGATTCTATAAATAATAGTGTTTATCAAATTAAATACGTAATATTGTTCATAAATTGATTGGTGTGATCTTAACTAATACGCAACAGTTTAACATTTTCTTTGGTTAAATTATTATTACTAATCATGTAAACAGATTTAAACAATTAGCTATTTAAATTGGATATCAATTTTTTTTTCAGAAATCAGAAATTGCAATCGTAATGGAACAATTTAAACTTGATACATTTGAGACTGGAATCTTATTAGCTGGGATACTTGTTAGTTTGTTATTGTATTTTTCTATTATCTGTTTCATTATACAAAAACTCGATTGCTCAAATCACTATGATCGTGAGAAAGAAAATTGATAATTTTTTAAAAAAATACAAAATCTCATAACAAACAAGATCTAATCAAACCATATTAAATATATTTCAAATTAAAAAAAATATTTAAAAAAATAAAAAAAATCTATGAAGCCAAACACCAGCTGTCAAACTATTTTAGTAGGCTGTAGCGCAGAAGATGCTTTTAAGTTGTTACAAAACTTGAGTAAAATCTTTAAATTTTAGAGCAAATAACAAGAAATTTTTAATGTAAGTATTAATACCACTAAGAGACATTAATGTAGTTAGAATATATATAATATCTTAAGCCTAGGTCATATTAGAGTGATATTAAAATTGTTCATATCTGAATGAAATGTTATGAATAAATAAAGCTCAGTTATTTCGTTGTTTTAGATAAAACAGTTTGTCAGTGTTATATTATAAGAGAAAAATTTTATATTAATTAAGAAATGACTACTTTATGCCCTATACGTTCTATTTTTTGTGGTATCGATGAGTAAGTATTCGTATTCAATTTCTTAATTTCTTTAGTCGATTTATTTTAATTTTAATTTGTTAATATATTTTTAAAAACTAAATAATTTATTTCAATTTGTTATTTAATTGTAAAATACAATCGATAAAAATATTTTATTTTAAAGCAATTAAATGAATAAAGTTTCAATTTATTAAAATAAGTTAATTTATATAAATCAACAATTTAATTATATTTCCAATTCCTTTACTCATTTGTAACATTTAAATTTTAACAATACCAAAAAAAAATTTAAAATGATTTACTAAATGCACTAAAGTTGTGTACACTAGAAAATGTTCTTAGCACTAGAGACTTATTGTAATATCAATTATGAGTGTTTAGATATGCTTATCGAAATAGCAGAAATTTTGCAAAAAGAATTTGGTAAAACAGTTGAATAAAAAGAAATCAAAAATTGATTTGAGAAAACTAACAAGTGAACTTAATATTCATAGCAGTTATTTTAGAAGTCATAAGAATTACAAAGTATTAAAATCTGTAGAAAATTACCTTTTTAAACAAGGCTATTATATCTTTGACAGGATAACACCATTGCTTTGATTTAGGGATTATCGAGGAACTGCTAATAAAATTGTAAAATATTTTAATAAGTATGCTCATTGTATTATTTATAAAGGAAATTCAACTGAACATGAAAATCGACTAAGAAGTTTACTATTACTAAATTCATCTGAGCATCACACAAAGACTCCACAAAATTTGAAAAAATTGCATCACAAAAAATATAAAAAAAAAAATGCAAGGCAATCAAATTGACAAATCAAATTAATCAAAAATAATAACATATCGATATATTTTTGAAAGATTCATTCTAATTATATAACTTTTTAATATTCCATGTTTCCTAATGGTTAGTATTTTCTTCTTACTGATTCTAAGAGAACGATCTTTGTTGATGATATATGTGAAATCATCATTATTATTATTTGTAACCATGGTATCATCTTGTATCTCGATAAATTCTACATCATATTTTTTGTTAATTTTCTGTTTAGTGAAAGTTGTTATGTCGAGTAATACAGTTTCGAGAGATGGCAGTTCATCATCGTCTGAATCAGGGATTAATATAATTTCTGGCAGTTCATCGTCGTCTGAATCAGAGATCAATATAATTTCTGGCAGTCCATCGTTATCTGAATCAGGGATCGATATAATTTCTGTTCTGGGTTTTTTCACATAGTGTTTTGAGTTTAATAATTTATTGAATAAAATTTCATCTTCTGAAGGAAGGTCATCACCTTCACAATATTTACGTTTGATAGTAGACATGTTATTTATGTCTTAGAATTTTTTTTGTTCAGAGAGGTTGTGGTATTTTTTGTCTTTACGCTGGATTTCATAGAGTTTAAATAAAATATAATGTGTGATACAAAATGCGAGTAAGAACTGAAGTCGGGTTACCAAACTCAGCTTCAAATGGAATGGGCACAAGTTGTTTGGTGTTGATAAATGATTTCTGAAACAGGTACAACTTGCTTGATAAGTTATTTCAAGAGATAGGTATTTACAAAATACGCATTTTCGTATATAACTAAATGCAATATTTATTTGAACAACACGTATAATTAAATTCTATTGTATTACGTGTGTCATTTGCAAGTAAAAATTAAAAATTTATAAAAATCTATTTTTAAACTTCCTGGTTTATAAATGGTGACCGGGTATAAGATTCACAAACTTTTCTGATTATTACACGTCGCAAAAAGGAACATAGACTTTTGCGCAATCTATTAAATGATTTTTGAAACAAGGACACTTTTGAAATATTTTTGAGCATTTCCGAGTGGTTAACTCATTCATATACTATACCTTTTCAATATAGTTTTAATTTGGAATTCTATACATGAAGGATGAATACTGCTGAAAACAAAGAAATAGAATCTTACGCGTTACTTTAAAGTCTATATATAGTCTTTTGACCAAACATTTATTTTTAGTCGTTATACGTAAAGGCTTTATTAGTGAATAACGGAGACTTATTTCTTAGTATTGGCTGATTATAATATTAATGACTAATTGAAGAAAATTCTGGTGGAAAACAGATTCCGAATAATTAATAAATACCTGGTCTCAAGCATCAGGCGCTTTTATTTCATAACTCTGCTCCCAAGCACTTTCATTTCATAACTCTGCTCTCAAGCACTTTCATTTTATAACTCTACTCTTAATCACTTTAAGCACAGACAAGACAAAATAAAATCTGTTAGTTCTCTTAAGAAACAATATTCAAAAAGTTCTCGCAATTTTTACAAACTCAAAAAAGATCATATTAAAAATATGGAAAGAGATCAGAAGTTTAAAGTTATTAAAAAGCTATTTGATCTTACCTCAGATGCACAAATAGCTGTTGAAAGCTATCAGATCCTCTTTATCGATTACCTTAAAGTAATTGAAGAAATTAAGATTAGAGCGTCTGATATTTTTAATGAGAATAAAATTCACAAAGAAGATTCAATTAAATATATCAAAAATCTTTTAAACAACGATTTTTATTCTAAAATAACAGAAATTGAAATTCAAAAGGCTTTCAAGAAATTTTTGAATTTTAAAGAAGAAAAACCAAAACAAACTTGGTGTGAAATATGTGAAGATGACAATTACGAATCTTGTAGTCACAAATGCAAAGAAATAAATTTTCTAGAAGTAGTCGGATTTTTTCAATTTTCAAAAAAATATTGTGATCATGATCATTATTTTATAGTTAGTGATTTCATTCAAAATAAATGGGTTTTGAGAATATTAGAAGGACATCAAATCTTACCATGTATCATGGTGTGAAGAAATATTTTATTGATAAATTATAAAATAGTTTATAGATTTTTTTAAGAATTTTTTTATATACATTATTTCTGTCTTTGATAATTTGGTTTATTGATTATTTGTCAAATAAACATATATTACCTCTCTAGCTTAGGCTGCTTGTACAGTATTAGATTTTTTAGTTAACATCCTTTTAGAATTCTTGGGGGAAGGGTAAAAATGAAATGAATAAATAAAATGACTAGATTTTTGATTAACTATATTTGGGATTAATTTGTCATATATAATCTTAAACTTTACTTAGAGGTCCAAGGTTATATCAGTACTTTACGTAATACTTAGCTTAGAGGTACTGTTTGCAATGATATTTTTACTATATAGAATTTTAATATAAAATTCCAATTTAGCATATAAAAAAGGTTTTTGTAAGATTTTATATAATTTAAATAAAAGTAAACATCTAAACGCTTATTTATTTTGATAAAATTCATGTAACTTAATGATTGTTTATTTTTATTGCACGGAATTTTTATTATTAAAAAATTTGGCTTTGGTCTATATCATTGTTCTAATTTTCAATAAATAACCATTAAACGGTCACAAAAAGTTAGGTCTTACTCAAAGCACTCCTATAATTTTTGGGCCTCTAAGTAAAGTTCTAGATAATATATTAGACTACTTATATAAAGTTTTATTTCATATTAATTAAAAAAAAAAGTTATTTTGTCTTAAAGTAAAATGTTAAAATTTTTTATTGCATATTAGTAAAACTTTTTATTTTTAATAAGAACCAAATAAAAGTTTAGATGTTAATATGGTCTTGAAATCATGTATATTTAAAACTTGAGAACATCACAAAATTTTTTGTTTAATATAAAAATTTGTAAAAATTGTTGTTAATGTTTTAACGATGAAATCCATTAGTGAAATCTTTACCAAATTTCATAAAATTTTTGTCACCATTATAATTTATCTTGATGAACATTTTTACTTAGTACGCAGAGACCGTTTACTTAGTAACAAATAAGGTTTATATGTAGTCGATTCGATTTCAGAAATCGTATCGGGCGTTACTTTTGTTCCCCCACTGCACCGGTACGTACAATCATAACGCATGCACTTATTTGCGCGAGTAATACAAACCCTAAAAAGGAAATGGCCAATCGGAGTGCACAAAATTTGACTATTCCGGATCAGCCCGGCATGAATTCCGAACACGTACAAAAGAACAAAAAGGCGAAAATACTCAAAAACTAGTGTTTAAATCGACCTTGGTTCACTAATTAAAAATGTTGGGGTTGGTTTTTTTCATCGATGTCCACCCATGTGACTTTTGCAAAAAATTTTTTGGGAAGGTATACCGACACAGCATACACGTGACTAATTCCGCTATACCCTAACGCCAATCCTAACTCTAATGCTGGCCATTTTGCTGTGCACTAAATCACGTGTATGCTGTGTCGGTATATTTCCCCAATTTTTTTACCGTCATGATCACATGGATGTGTAACATGAAATGTGAGAGGAATGACTTCATTACCGTATTTTCTCTAAAATAAGCTATCTTCTAAAATAAGCTACCCCCTCAGTTTTTTCTCAATATGCATGAATATGCATAAACAGTTACTATATATAAAAGTCAAAATTTTACTAAATAAACTGGCTTTGGGCTCTTAAGTAAAGTTGTTAGCTCATTGAATTGCATATAATTTAAAAGTTTCATCTCATTTGGAATGGGATATTGGATATTTGGGATTTGAGATTTGTCCAGTTTTCCATATGGGATTTGGCTGAACAATCCCATTTGTTCATGTTTATCTATGAACAAATCCCAAGAGTTTGATCGGCAATAGTACCTACACTCAATCCTAACCTGTCACATTTGTTTTATATTGTCGACCTGACCAATTGCTCAAAGTTTACTTTGGGCAAATTATAAATATCCAAAGAAAGTTTTTACAAATCTAATTCTATTTGAACCGCGCATTCATTAATACTTGTCACAATTTCTGAGTATTATTTACTTTAAGAAACTTAAAATATAATTATAAAAAGGCATTAAAATAAAACCTAAAGCTAAAATCATTTTTACCAAATTAAAAAACATCACAATATTTCAGCATCAGTGGATGCTGAAATAAGTCACATGATTAGTCAATTAAGTATCGATATTTTAAGTTTCATGCCTTTTTATTAAAGTTGTATCATTTTTTCGATGTTGCCTAGAACGTATTTTCTTATATATTTAGGACAATTCTGATTATATTTAGGAAGTTTTACTAACTCTGTTATACTACATAATGCATGGTTTTATTATAAAACATTAAAAATATTTCTTTATGTTCAAGCTCTTTTCGAATTTCAATCAATTTAACATATTTTATTAATTTTTTTGTCTTCAAAAAAAATTTTTTTAAATAGACAAGTAAAAAAGAAAGTTAATTTTTAGAATACTTTCATATTTGCATATATATACTTTACTACATTCAAGATATATCAAATAATTCCTTTATACTTGAATTGTTAAAATTAAATAAGGTTGTTCAATACTGCATTTTTTAAAAAAAAGAAAGCTAAAATTAAATTTAAAGCCACGCAAAGTAAATTTTTCATTTAACATTACATGAAATCTGAAACTTGGGTCGGTCGGTCGTTTTTTTTTTTTTTTTTTTTTGAAAAAAAAA